TGATTTAAATTTGAAGATGATTTTTCAATTCTCTGAATATTTTCTATGAAGCGATTTGTTGATCGGTCTCGCAAAATGTTGTATGATTGCCTTTATTTTCACGGCAAGTCTTTCTAGGCTTTCTTCATCTGACCTCTTGAAAGTTGGACTTTATTCTTACACAAAAATATGCTTAATAAAAAGATAAATTTAAAAAAAACGTTAAATTCTGTTGGTATTCAGATTTAGCTTTTTCGCCACAGTTTGTCGAATACATGCTGTCAATTAATACATGCTCTACACATAAATATGAAGACAAGATGGCGGAGCTTTTTGTTTGGTCGCAGTTTCCTTAAGCTGTATACTGTCAGCTTGATCTCGTTTTCGCGACTTGATCTAAGCGATATAAAGTCTTTTATATCGTATCTAGTCCTGCGTTCGCTGACAGTATTCATAATGATGTAAGGCATCAGACCGCTGACTTGGTACATTTCCAGACGTATCGTCGGTGATGCGCCATTATTAGCACAGAGTTACAGGTATTCAGGATTGTGTTGAGTCAAAAAAACGCAAAAACAATGTATCTTAACAGAATTGCAGAGGAATGAGGAAAATGACGCATGGACAAGAAATTCAGTCAGGATGTACGACCACCAACAACATACGGATTACCGAAGATACACAAAGAAGGCCAGCCAATAAGGCTGAGTCAACAAGAAGTATAGAGCAACACACAAATCAGCAAAGTTTATATGTTTGAAACTCAAGAAATTAAATGAGAGGCTATCAAACACGGTGGAACATTCATATGAATTTTCTCAAAAAATAAAAAAAAATGGCACAAGAAGAAACGGACGTATTGGTAAGTTTCGCTGTGGGACCCATGTATACAAATATCTCTGGAGAAAACGCGCTAACGGCCCTGCTGAAAATCCTGGACCGAGAGGAGAATATCCTGGATTAACAACGGATCGGTAGGAATTCGTTAACAAGGGTAATAAACTTGCTAATAAGGACAATCTATTTTGGATTCAACGGGAAAATCTATGAACAAATATTTGGACTTCCCGTGGGATCGATGCTCTCACCACTTTTGGCAAACGTATGCATGAACAAAATAGGAGAGAACTTCAAGATGGCACTGCTACAAGCGGCAGTGCTCATGCGGTACCTGGATGGTTATTTCGCACTGGTCACATGAAAGAGAAAAACTGGAAGAGTTTCTGAAGTTTGTAAACCAGAAGATATGAAGACTAAGATGTGGCCTTTTGTATGGTTGCAGTCTGATTTCGATTTATAGGAGTGGGTTGAGCTCGTTGTCATAACTTGGTTTTGTTGTTAGGGCGACCTAGTAGAACTCACCTAGTCCGAAGTCGTCTGCGATAGTAGTTGTCATGATTCCCAGCATCAGACAGTAGACTTGGAACATTCTCAAACGCTTAGTTGGCATCGTAGTCGGCATCACCAGTGAGTTTTGCCATTCTCTGAACCAAGCTACAAACTCGTCAACGAGACAAGTGAAGACAATCCCTCAACAAACATTCTGCAGAAAACAGTTACACTATCATCCCTCTTTCTGTCCTGGACTATCTATCTATTCTACCCTCTCATCACATTGCCGCCCTATCACAATTTATCACTTTTTTACATTTCACTCGTCAAAATGTAAGTCCTTTTGTGGCAAATCTAGTTTGGCCTCATCATACTTGCTATTCACCCCGAACCCTTCTCTTTCGATCGGCTGATCCGACTCGGGCCCCTAATTCGGATCCCCCTCATGTTTTCGTAGATCCGTTCCTTATTTTTCTAAGTGACCGATTTTACTTGGTTTCAGTCTCTGTGTTCATTTCACTCCAGGCGCTATTTCTCAAGGCCCTAGAAGCACGTACACTGCGGCCTCATCGAGCAGAGCACCTAGGCTCTGATTCCCATGCTTGCAGCTATCAGGCCTTTTCTTCACGGGTCCTTTCCTTGATTAAACCCATGTTATCTGAGCAAACTGTGGACGCCTATCTCTGGTCGCATGCGGCATCTCAAGTGAATTTCTTGTACATTTTTACCATTACGCCGAATTTCCGTGACGGTTTGTTTATCTGTTTGCCCAGCTTCCTGACTGGCAAGCCCCAAAGTTGTACTGGTTTATTGGAAATTGACATCATTCACTGACCACGGCTTCACTTTATTGTCGAAAACCCCTGCCCCCCCCCACTTTCTTCATCGCGATTCCTTTTCCTACAATTAGTGGTAGATCCTTGATCCAGGCGTCTCCTTTTGCTGGTCTTGCTCCATTTTGTTTTCCCCGAGTTTGTTTAGGCAGTAGGCGAATTTATCGCTAACTCACACAAAAGTGGGTATGCCTACCTTCCTGTAAACTAACTCAAAAACTACGGCCAATATTGAGGAAATGGAATATTCGAGTGGCCATGAAAGAGAAATCAATACTTTTCACAAGTCTACCAACGAAAGGCTAGACAAATTGGATTGTTCAGGAGTTTACCGTATATCATGCGCGACCTTCGAACAGAAATATATTTATGAAACAGGGAGAAAAATTAGCACACGAATCAAGGAACATCAAAAGCTCTGCAGGAAAATGGATACCGAAAGATCAGAAATAGCGGACCACATCGCGCAGACTGGACACGAGATCAATTGGAAGGCAACAGAAAGAAGGGCCCCATTCGGTGACACCACAAGGAAGCTGAAGATTAAGGAGGCCATCGACATCCTTGGGGAGAAAAATCTAATCAACAGGAGACTGGAAAAAGGTAAAGTTAGCGATAAATTTTCTTACTGCGTAAGCATACTCGGATAAAACAATAATAGAGCAAGACCAGCGAAAATGAGAAGCCTGGATCAAGGATCTACCGCTAACCGGAGGAAAAAGGATCGCGATGAGAAGAGTGGGGGGTGGGTAGTTTCGGCAATCAAGCAAGGACGCTGTCAGTGAGTTATGTCCGTTCCGAATAAACCAGTGCAACTTTGGGGATTGGCAGTCAGGGAGCTGGGCAGACGGATAAGCAAACTGTCACGGAAATTTGGCGTTATGGCCAAAATGTACTAGAAATTAACTTGAGATGCCGCATTCAACCAGAAATAGACGTCCACAGTTTGCTCAGATAACATGGGTTTAATTAAGGAGAGGACCCCGATCGAAAGAGACCCTCTGCACCTGGGTGATTAATTAGAGGGTATAGCCTCTGAGTAAGCCTCATGGTCATGTCTTAGCTACATGGACCACTTCTCATGTAAAACCTACTGTCAGCCAACTAGTTCCAATCACCACCTCGTCTATCCAGTCTCTATCCTTAATACAAAGTCTATGACTTGCCATGCCCTAGTCGCTTGTGTGCCAACCCACAAATGTTGTGGTACTGCTGGCTTTGATTAGGCTTATGGTGAAACACAACGTTTGTGGTTTGGTTCACAAGAGACTAGGGCATAACAAATCATATACTTGGTATTATAGATGGAAACAGTTGAAGCTAGAGCTAGTTGGCTAAAAATAGTCGTGATTCAAGGATCACGCTTATTATCAAACATGTTTATTTTTAGCCAAATAGCTTTAGTCTCCACCGCGTCTTTTCAGTCTCTATTTGTAATACCATGTCCATCGCTTCCTACGTCATAGTCTCTTGTTTGCCAACCCACAAATATCGTGGTTCTACTTGTTTTGATTTGGCTAACTGAAGACGTATCCTCTTTGCTTCTGATTGTCGCTTTCTCATCCCCCTGCGATCTCTTTTCCTATAATTAAGGATATTATCTTGATCCAGTCGTCTTCTTTTTGCTGATCTTGCTGTTGCCTGGTCTTCTCCGAGTTTATTTAGGCAATATGAAAAGTTTTCGCTGATTCTGCCTTCTTCAAATCTCCTGTTTATTGGATTTCTCTCGGTCAATATTTTGATGGCCTCTCGGATATTGTGTTTTCTCGTATTTTCACCATATGCAGCCAACTTTTCGGTCGATTTCCAGTCGATTTCGTGCCCCGTTCGTGCAATGTGTTCCGTTATTTCCGATCTTTTCGTATTCATGCTCCTGCAGAGTCTTTCATGTTCCTTGATTCGTAGGCCGATTTTTCTTCCTGTTTCACTTATATACTTTGCTCAAAGTTGCCCCATTTGATGCGTCAAACTCCCGAGCAATCAAGTTTGTCAGTCTTCTCGTGTTGCGTCGGCAGACTGGTGGAAAGTGTTTTCTTCTATTTTGTTATCACCCTGATATTCCATTTCCTTAGTAACGGTCGCAATTGTTGTGATGAGGGAAGGCAAATCCACTTTTGGTTTTCT